TTTTTTTTTTTTTTTTTTCCTTTTTAAATTAGACCAACAGCCTACCAGATTAAAAACTTTGTCCCAGGGGTGTTAGCAGATGACAGCACTGGCTTAGGCCAGCTCACAGCAGCCAAGTGTGCCTGTCTCTCCCCAGTGCCTCAATGCTTCAGTTCAGCACATGCAGCTTGAAACTGGCTGTAGTGTCCCCACACCCACCAGCACAGCTGGAATAAGCTCAGAGAAACAAGCAGACCAGCCACAAGCCATGAGCCACACCACCGCCAAAGCCCTTGCTTATTCCTCTAGTTGAGATCAGCAGTCAGCAAACTCTAACCCCCCAGTCAACTCTGGCCCACTGCTGGTTTTTGTAAATTCATTATTATTGGAATACAACAATGCCAGTAATTAATATATGGTCTATAACTGCTCATAGCAGAGTTGAAAAACTACAAGAGAAACCACATGAGCCCCAAAGCCCACCACCACATTCTCTGGCCCGGTGCAGAGGCTGACATCTCCTCTCCAGATTAAACCAGCAGCTCACAAACAAGCATGCATGGAATCCCCAGGAGGACTTGAAAGAACACAGCTTACTAGGGTGGGCCACCCACGGTCAGACAGCACCATCTCTAACACAGACCCTGTGATGCTGCCGCAGCAGAAGCAGAACCACACTGGGAACCATTGCTTGGGGCCAACAGCCAGTGCACCATTTCAGGAACAACTGTCCCAGCACCTGTACAGAGGCAGGGACGACCCAGGAGAAAACTGGCCTGGCTACACTGCCATTCCTACAGTGGATGTTTAAAAACTCAATGAAGTTTAAAACAAAAATTAGAAAAAAACATTTCTAACACATAATGAAGGGCTCACAAACTTAATTTGTAGAGAAGAAAGACTTCTATAAATGTAGGAGGAGATGCTTTTTGGCAAAATAGACAACAATCATCCTGTGTACCTGGCTTGCCAAGCTGTCCCTTCCAAGGGCTGTCTACCTACGGTAGCTCAGACAGGCCTATGAGCCACTCCTTGGCCCACTTGCCACATATGGACCTGCAACTGTAAATTTTGATCATGCTATTATGATTTTTTAAAATAATTTTATTGAGAAACAAATAGCAATGAGACAGTTCCAAAACCGGTCACTAGCACAGTTTCAATACTTAATACATTGCATATTGTTGTCTTAGTGGTTATTCATTATACAAGATGCAGACATGATACCCTGTCCACAAACACTATTAGAACAAATCTTCCTATTCATTGAATTAAGAGAATGTAGCTGTGTATCTATCCTATTTTGAATATACAGATACAAAATGGTTATTCATTTCTATCCCCTTTTTTTGTTTAGTTGTGTCAGAGAAGGGTATTCCACTGTCACGTAAACATTATAGGTGCGTGAATTCAGCAAAATATTCCAATATAGACTAGTAGTCCCTAATAGTGGTGGGTTTTCCATAAGACTGGCAATGTCAGAAGTTGTTGATTTGAGCCTTTTACAGTTCAGCATATTAACATGACTTTACGTTTTATACTTCATTTTTATACTTTTCTGCTGGATGGCTAAGACCAAGATAAAGCAAGTCCTATATAATAAGACATGTAGCTTCTGTATCTGATAAGGTCAGTCAAATCCCCTCAGGATTTATCCTGAAACCCTATACCACAGTTTGTAGATCCTTTGTCACAGCCATTGCTTGACCAATTTGCTCTCTGTGAAAGCCAGAGAGAATGTTTTCTTTCCATGTGACTCTCCTTAGGCACACTCTACATCATTGATCACCTTCCTCCATGGCCCCTGTCTTAGTTACTCTTCTCTCTTTGCTGGGACAAATACCTGACACTCAAAATGAAGGAAGGAAAGGTTTATTTAGCTCACAGTTACTGGAGGTTTCAGTCTATACTCAGCTGGCTCCAAGGCAGAGCAACACATGGCAGAGGGCAACCTTTCATGGTG